AACCACTTAATAAGCAATATAGCTAACATAAAAACTGAATATAAGATAATTGCAGGCGACCTAAACCGCCCAGAAATAGACTGGGAAGAATTATCAGCACCTACCAGGCACGAAGAATTCTTGTAAAATAGAGGAATATCATTATCTGTTCTATGTTTATCAATGATGCTATCTTTTATAAATTTGATTATTTTTAGTGCTATGCTCCGGTATTTTTCAATCGGCTGGCACTACGACTGCGCAACCTTTGAAAGTGACCACAAAGCAATGATATCAACACTCCCCTTAAACGCAAAACTAGCACCCCATTTTAGTAACACCCGCCTAAACCCAAAAAAACTTGACGAGGACTCCATGAGCAACTATATTAGATCATTGGACTGGAGCCCATATCTTCTTACAACATCACCTATGGAAGCAGTTAACCTATTATACTCTGTCCTATTTGTAATTCGAGATACCTTGATAGACGAAAGACTCCCGTATAAGAAATCACCAATCCCGAACTTCCTTTCAACTAAACTAAAAAAGCTACAAAAACAGCTACGCGACCCCTCTGTGAGTTATTTTTCCACACTTCGATGAATTAGGGAAATTCACGACCTAGTCACGAAAATAGAAACACAAAAGACCATAGCAGCAGAACATCGGGCACTAGAATCCCCCGAACGAACAGCTCAGATGTTTCAGAAACTAATGAGTAATCATCGACAGTCAGGACCACGAACCATTATTAATGAATTAGGGCAAGTTATAGCCAATGATAAACAAATAGTAAACTTTTTCAACAGATACTTCTAAGCTAACTACACAGTCGAATAGGGAACCATCTCCCAACCGACCGAGATGACTGAACGCATCCTTAGTGAGATCCATTTTAGTGGAGAAACTGTTAAAGTAGCCATCAAACAACTATCAAACACCAAATCCTATGGGACAGACAAAATCCCACCATGTATTCTGAAGCATATGATATATGCTCCAATACTGTCCGAGGGTGGCAAAAACCGCAATGTCCGTACTGTACGCCATCAAGCGTGCGTTTATGGACTTTGACGAAGAAGCCTTCTCTAAGACATTCGGAACAGTCGTCCGGCCGCATTTAGAGTACGGCTTACAAGCTTGGAGGCCGTGGGGTGTTGTGGATCAAAACTGCCTCGAAAGAGTCCTGAGGAGAGCCACGAAGATGGTCAGGGGTCAAAGCTCCTTTCCTTATGCGACCCGCCTAGTAAATCTGAACCTCTTTCCTTTGAGTTACAGGCAACTTCGCGGAGATCTCTTGCAAGCCTTCCGCATTGTAAAGGGGTTGGATTGCAGTCTGGCCTTCGAGGACTTTTTTGAATTTGCTACCACGACCAACCTCCGAGGTCACCCGTTAAAACTGCGCACTCAGCAGGCACGGCTGGATGTGCGAAAGTTCTCCTTCTCGGTTCGGGTGGTCAAACCGTGGAATGAGCTTCCCGCAGATGTTGTGATGTCACCATCTATACAAAGTTTTAAGAAGAATCTGGACATATTTATGTTCCGAAATGACCAAGAGCGATGAGAAGTCGAGCTCACCCCTGTAACTCCTTCTCATTTTGTCCCAACATTATGGGCGTGTTCGAACTATTTCAGCCCAAAACATCTATCTGTACACCACACATTTTTTACGTTGCAAATAGGGTACTCAAAGGCTTACGCCTATTTCCCTCAATAAACTGAACTGAACTGAACTGAACTCCTATCTAAGTTATTCACCCTACTCCAGTCAAATGCAATTTTTCCGGACATGTGGAAATACTCGACCATTGCACCCATATTTAAAAGCGGCAACTGATCTCATACCCAAAATTATCGTGGTGTTCACCGAACACCGGCTATAGCAAAAATCCTCGAGAAAAAAGTATATAATCAATTGCTAGACTATCTCATGAACGCCAACCTCATTCCCTCCTCTCAACATGCATTTTTCCCTAAAAAGTCATGTCAGTCCTGCCACCTTACTTCTTTGGAATTCGTTTCCAGCAATAGAGATGATGAAAACACAGTAGCTT